GGTGGGTGGGTGGGGGATGGGACGTTCGTTGTACATGCAAGCACCGAAGGTCTCGAGGCCATAGACCCCCGCGACCATACTGTACAACACCAAGGCGGGTCATGAGTAATGAATCATGGGACAAGCCAGGTGTCCACCGAAGAGCCGGGTGGTAAGACTTGCCGTGCTTGTGGACTAGGCATCATTTTTCGCCCTATGACCCACTGTCTCGAATATCCCGGACGGTGCTACTCGTACTACTAGATCGCTCGCTCGCGAAGGCGGCGGGGGAGTTCAATTGTCGCGCGCGGGGTCAACTTTCATCGCGAACCGTCCCGTCGTCCTCCAGAAAACGAGTCTATGTACCGCGGCAGAGTTGGCCAAGAAACGATGTCAAGACAATAAATAGCTGTGATGCAGCACACAGTGCTCCTTGATGTAAACGTGCAGTCAAGACAGCCAGGCGAAAGGCGTGTAGTGGAACAGCCACAAAACGCCGTACTGCCCTTCATTCTCATGGTCTCGTCGATATGTGTGGCCTTCCGCTTCCTTACATACCACTAACCCCCAGGCTTTGACCAAAACAACACTCCTCCTTTGACCATGCCCCTCGGATGTGGACGCACCCCAACCTGCCCGTCATCTCTCCATAGGCACAGCACCGCTCACCTGATAGCAGTCGCCCAACCCCGGAAATTCCAACATCCTCAAGATCCAGCCCAACACTGGGGTGTTGTTAAGCCGTTGGCTCGCCAGGACCTGAAGAAAAGCGTACGCAGTGCACGGCAGAAAGTTGAGAGAGGGGGGTGATCGTGTATGCGTGGCTGTTGGTGTTGTGACTGCTGTGTGGCATGTACTAGGGAGCAGAAGCGGCGTGCAGCGGCAAATGAATGAAGGCTAGAGCGCCGAAGGCGGCCGAAAGAGGCAAGGCCGCAGGGCGGTTGATCTACGGGGGACCGCGAAAAATTACAGTGTGTCAAAAAACGCAAAGGCCGAAACAAAGCGCACTCTACGCTTAAGCACAGCAAGAGGTAGGTGGAGAACACAGAATACTCAAAGACAACAGCAAGAGCAGCGGCATGAGCAAGAGCAGCAGCAGCAGCAGCAGCAGCAGCAGCAGCAGCAGCAGCAGCAGGGAGCAGGCAGCAGCACGTTGCAGTGGCGTTAAAACCTACGCTAACCTTGGTGTAGCCGTGCGCGCCTACAGCCCTGGCCACCTGTAGGATGGTCCACCAGTCAAGGCCTTGGAAGGCGTTGCCGGGCAGTGTGTTGGACACGATCACGCACGGGCACAGTCCGTCCAGCATATCGCTGTTGTTGTGTCGAACGGTTGAGTGCGCCGCCCCGCGCGCATGTACCGTCGTGACCAACAGAAAAAAAGTGTGTGGGTGTGTTTATTGTCAACTAATTGTCCGGACTTCCGTGAGGAATGCGGTGCAACTACAAACTTCAAGCACGCACGCGGGGGGGAGATAAAAGAGGGGCCATAAGCTGGGACCTTTCTCGATGCTCCTCAAAATCTTGTTTGGAACAAAACGAGCAGCAACCTCCTGCCACATCAAGACAAAACACTTCAAGGCAGAGCGCGCATCCATCCGGCAGGATGTCGATGATAGGCCTGTGCACGGAGAGGAATCAACCAAAACTACCGTGAACGTGCGAGTGATTGCACACGGCCCACCCTCTAGACGGAATGGATTTCAAAGAACCAATAACTCGGCAACCACGAGGGCGTCAATACCAAGGGACGCATGCATGATGCAAGGAAAGACAGCGCTCGAACGACGAGATATTTCTCCCCAAGGCACCCTTTTCGGGACTGGCAGCCTCTTGGTTGAGGAGCAATAGAGCTTTCAAAGTCGGTCTGGGAGATGTACGATCACCTGCATTTTCATGGTGCAGGACTATACCATGACACTACGAGCGTCTGGCAAAAAGAGGGTACAAGAAAAAAAAAAAAAATCTGAGCACCCACCTGTCACCCGTCACCCTGACCCTTGTGCGCGGAAGCAGCAGCGACGCCGAATCCACGAGGGGCCCCGCCAGCTGAGAACAGAGAAGGCGCCGGTATGTCGCCCGTCCCCAAGGCCGCACCTTTTCGATTCAACAGCCCGCATCATGATCCGGTAACACGCGTGGCCGGACAGAGGTCAGCATCATCAACGTATCGCAATCAATTACGACCTCCACACGGGGAGCGCGAGAACTCCACAAAAATGTCCAAAGCATGAGACGAACACTCTGCGTGGCCCCGTATCGTGGCCTTTCACTCTCGGGAGATGAGGCCGGATCGTACAGCTGTCTACAGTAGTGGCAACGCCTTGCCAACACCCCCTGCCCCCGGTACTCTCTGATCTCTGTCTGCGTGGACCCCCGGCGCGAGAACGGAAGCAGAAACAGCGCACCACAAGACGACCAACAATGCGCCCACACACGCACCGTGCTGCTGTGGCGGCGCGAGGTGTCACGTACTCCACACAAGATACCTCACCCCGCTTGGACAGTCATCTTCGAATTTCACGATTTGTCCATAGCGAAGTGAAGGGGACGGACGGCACCGACCGATCCGTCTGTTTATTGTGTCGCGTTTTCTCCATAGAGCAGTGAGGAGGGTGACAGATAGTCCCGGCCCTCACGTCCATGGAAAGGCTTTCATGATGTGTACCTGTTCAAGTGCTATATTGTATACCCGTTTTGGGTAGTGTTTTCTCTCGCTGTTGTGAAGAAATCGAGCTTCGAGAATCGGTCCAGGGTCTGCCGTATCTCATGGGGTGCACCGTATCCAAGCCTAGCTCCACTCAAACCACGCTCACAAAGGCCTATGCTGTACCACTCTGTTTCCTCCCAACTATTCTCCAAACCTAAAGCGCAGCCCCCAAAACACACCACAAGCGAGTCGGTCGAACATACGTACCGTGAAGTAGAGGCAGAGTCCCATCAGCAGGCCCCCCAGACCAGAGACGGCAAGGGCAGCCAAGGCGGCGGTCATTTTCACTTGCCGGATCACATACATGGCCAGAGGACCCTGGCCAAGAAACAAGAAACAATCAGAGAGGGCAGTCGAAAATATAAAGAATGAAAAGAAAACGGACAAGTACGCGAATGAATACGTTGCCGAATGACATGACCAAGGCCAACGCCGGGTCAAGACAGTGGCGGCATCAGTTGACGCCTGCCTCGGTCTTGCCGGCAGGACCGTCTACCAAGAAGGGGCGCGACCGACACGCAGCCTTCTCTGGGAAAATCAGCGTAAGCTCTTGGGGTTTCGAACAGGAACTGAAGTTGTGCTGTCACATTCATACTGTTGCACTTCCCTACCAAGACTGGCCCTCATCTATGCATGTGTATGCATACATCAGCCGTTACTTGCGTCAAAACTCGAACACCAGCGCTGCCGTAGGCCCCCGGAACAAGCAGAGACTACGACAGGGTTTTGCGAGGAGGGTACCAGCGACGCACAGGGATGGTGCTGGATGAAATGACGCGTCGTTAAACTGATGGTCCACGTGTGAGCGAGCGAGTTGTGTGAGAGTCGCGGCGTTCTCTACACCGTGATAGTGGTCTCTGAAAAAGGCCCCACGGTGGCGCCAAGGGATTCAGCCATCCTTACACCGGGCGCTCGGCACCATTCAGAGCAGCATAAGATAACTCGATTATTCCATCTATAACGTGCAATATCACCTGCCTTGATCAGTGCGACCGTCCTTAAGTATGCGGCCTTACAGTAAACACGGACCACTACTGGCTCTATGGGAAACACCGGCCAACCTTGAAAGTAATTGTCACGAATACGTGGTCTACTAATAGATGCAAGATTTCAATTCGTGTGGGTGGTGCAAAGGGACGGTGAGCAGCTCTTATCACCCCCTAGTTTCGTGCCGAACACATACGCACACACCAACACCAACAGAAACATGAACAGATCTACCTCTCCCATGTATCCTCTTCGAACCTACACAAAGCCAAATATGCTGCCGCGTGAAAATGTGTATCCTGTACGCACCCCCCCTCCCCCCCAAAGCGTACTCCTGGTTCTGTAGTCGTCACCTTGAAAACCTTTCCCAGTAAGGTCCAAGCCCCCCCCTCCCGATCCCCTCCCGCC